GTTCCAGGTCAGAAGGGTGTCTCAGGGCTATAGTCTCAGGGTTCCTCTAGTCTGTGTTAGACCAGTAAGCGTGGTCTTTTTTGTGAATTTGATTTTTTGTTCTACATTTTTCTCCCGCTCTGTCCAGGACAGGACTCTCTGTTGTGATCCCAGTCACAGCGGTCGGTAGTGGTAGCCAGGCACCATCTAGTTCTTCTGGTCTCAGGGTCGTGTAGTTGTGGTTCATGTGTCCATTTGTTGTTTGGACTAATTACTCCCTTGAGTCTTTGGTTTTTTTCACTCTCCTTTGCTCCAGACTGGAAGAGACCAATAGTTGTATCTTAGATGGCTACCCACAAGCTTCTAAGACCCCAGACGCTACTCACCAAAGTAGGATGTAGAACATTGTCTTTATGACCTATATTGTGCCAGTTGATGTAGATGTCCCCCAAGTCTATGGTCCTTTGCCTATGAGCTTAGGTATTTCATCCTGTGAGGTGTTTGGTTATGTCTAAGAGGTTTCCCTGACTGTGCCACTTGAGTGCTCTGTTGTCTATATTAATATATAAGGAGTATCTACAGTCATGTATTTAGAAATATCTACCACCAAACCTGTATCTGCAGGTGGGTGTGCTCCCTTACACCCTCCCACACCTTTTGACATATCTACCTATGTATCTGTTAATACATTAGTGTTTGTTAACGTTATTGTGGCAAGATTATGCTATAGTAGTTATCTTAGTTGCCCTTTCTTCCTGCATTCCTCTCAGTGTCTTCCTTTGCCTTCCAATTGTGTTGTGCTGACTTCCCCATATTGTGTATTGCCTTTCCCTTCACTAATATTAACACGTGTCTATTTGATAATTTTCCCCTACCTCCCTCTCCCATCCCTGGTAACCATCAAAGAACGGTTTCTTGTTTTTTTTCTGTGTATAAATCTTCTGTTGTTACTTTATAATAGTGGTCTCATACAATATTTGTCCTTTTGTGGTTGACTTATTTCACTCAGCATAATGTCCCCCAGATTCATCCATATTGTGAGATGTTTCGTGGATTCGTCATTATTCTTTATCATTGCGTAGTATTCCATTGTGTGTAGGTACCACAGTTTGTTAATCTATTCATCTGTTGATGGGCAGCTAGGTTGTTTACATTTTTTTGCTATTGTGAATAATGCTGCAGTGAACATGGGTGTGCGTATGTCTGTTCGTGTGACGGCTCTTTTTTTCTTTATCACCTTCATTCTTGAAGAATGCATTTGCTAAGTATAGAATCCTAGGTTGGCTGCTCTTTTCTTTCAGCTCCAAATATATCAATCTATTGTCTCCTGCTCCCAGTGTTTCAGTTGAGAAGACAGATATCAGGCTAATAGTTGCTCCTTTGCAGATAATCTGTCGTTTTTTTTTTCCCCTCTGGTTGTGTTTAAGATTCTGGTTTTCCTTCCTTGTTCCCTCCCTTTCTTCTTCCTTGTTTATTTTATTTGATTGTGGTAAATATATATGTTAAAAACATTTGCCATTTCAGCATTTTTTACATGTACATTAATCATGTTCATCTTTTTCAGCCATTACCACTATCCTTTTCCAAATTTTTCCCTCACCCTTAACAGGTCAGTATTCCCTATGCAATGAGTCCTTCTTTCCCCCTCCCTCCCAGCCCTGATAACCACTAATAAACTTTGGTTTCTTTGCATTTGCTTGTTTTAGATTTCATGTAATTGGGATCATGTAGTAGTTGTCCTTTTGTAACTGACTTATTTCACTCTGCAGAAGATTTTCAGGGTTCATTCATGCTGTAGCATGTTGGTTAGTGTTTGCAGGTCTTTCCTTCCTCTTTAACGTGCCTAGGTTTGATTTTCTTTTTATTCATCCCCTTTGGTTCGTAAGACTTTTTTTTTTTATTGTACGTTAGATGAAGGCTTACAGAACAAATAGTTTCTCATTGAACAGTTGGTACACATACTGTTTTATGACATTGGTTAACAAACCCACAACATGTCAACACTCTCCCTTCTCTACCTTGGGTTCCCTATTACCAGCTTTCCTGTTCCCTCCTGCCTTCTAGTCCTTGTCCCTGTGCTGTTGTGCCCCATTAGTCTCGTTTTGTTTTATGGGGCTGATCATAGGACTTTCAAAATCTGCGGCATGATGTCTTTGAATCAATTTTAGTAATTTCTCAGACATCTCTCCCTTAAAGAGTATATATCTTAGGCTTTCTCGCTTTTCTATTACCTGCATTGCTGCGTTTTCCAGTTCTTTTGTTCTCTGTGCTTCTTTCTGGATATTTTGATCTGACCAAACCTTAGTTCACTAATTCTCTCTGTAACTGTGTTTAATCGATTGCTAAACTTATCCATTGCATTGTTAATTTCAGTTATTGTGTTTTTAGTTCTAGAATTTTTAGTGTAATTTAAAAAAAGTCAATAAATCTACCAAAATTCTCAAGTTTATCTTTTATGTCTTTGAGCATAGTAAACTAGTTATTTTAAAATCCAAGTGTGGAGTTCCTGTGGGCCTATTTTCTATCTGGTTTTTGTTCCTATCTTACCTCTTTGTATGCCTTTTTTTTTTTTTTTAATTGTGGTGAAAATATACACACCAAAACATTCGCCAGTATAACACTTTCTTCATTTACAATGCAATGACATTGATTACATGCTTTGCGTGCCTGGTTACTTTTGACTGTGTGTCAGATATTGTATTTGAAAAATTGTTGGTAGAAAAATTTGAGGCCGGGGTAAGTCACCTCAGCCTGATATCAGGGATTGAGAGGACTCAGCAGAGCTGCCATCCCTGGAGGGCCTCCCTTATTCACTGTTACTTTTGTGTTGCAGCCTTTGTGGTCCCAGCTCACAGCAAGGTTGTTTCAGCAGACCTTCCACCCCCCTCAGCAGGACCTGGGCTCAGATTGTCCCTGTGTCCTTGAGAGCCGGTTCTTCTCACCTCTCAGTTGCCCTTTCCAGAATCTGCAAATGCTCCCAGAGCCAATGAGGTGCTAAGACTGTGAAGACATTAAGTTTTTACACCCCTTGCAAGCTGTTGATTTACACTGTCTCCTGGTCCTGCGCTCTCAGGACCGGGGCTGGGTCTCAGTGTCTGGGTCCTGGTCCCCATCACAAGGCCCAGACCAGAGCAGGACCAGTGAGGCTGATGCTTCCATGAATGCATCAGCCACATCACCCAGGTTGGAGGCTAATGCTTTTTTTCAATTTGAATTTTTTTCTGTTTACAGAAGTAATGTATTCAGTTTACAAAACTGAACATTACAGACAGAGAGTACACGTGCCCTTCCCAGAGTCACCCATCATTAATATGGATTCATGCACCTTAAGTATTTTTCTTTACATATATATGAGTTTTAATTTTTTCATAGCATCTATAGGTTTTGCAACTTACTTCACCTCTCATAGTACTTTGATATATATTTTTAGAGCTTTATTACATTTTTAAATAACATTTTTGAGGCATAATTTACGTATGATATACTACACCCGTTTAGTGAATATGATTTGATAGTTTTTTTTTTTAACCATTCCACCCTTCCTCCATCCTCTGGTAATCACTAATTGTTTGTGTCAATGGATTTACCTATTCTAGATACCTCATATAAGTGGAATCATACAATCTGTGGCCTTTTGTGTCTGGCATATTTCACTCAGCGTAATGTTTTTTCTAGGTTCATCTGTGTCGTAGTATTTGTCAATACTTTTTTCCTTTTTATGGCTGAATAATATTCCATTGTATGGATACACCACCTTTTGTTTCTCCATTCATCTGCTGAAGGACACTTGAGTTGTTTCCACCTTTTGGCTAATGTGAATAATGTATCTTTGATATCTTTTTGTGTAAGTACTTACAGATTTGCCTCATTCTGTTAAAAAACTGCAACACCCAAATTGCTCCCAAGAAGACTGGACCATTTATACTCCCACCAGTTGTTTGCGTGTTTGTTTCCCCACGTCCTTGTCCACATTGGATATTAATAATCTTTTTAATCATTGCCCCCTTACAGAGCCACAATGTCTTGTTTTCATTTGCATCTCTGCTGGGTTGTTGTCTGATCACTTATCTACATATCCATCTGCAGACTTCCCCAAGTGGGTTCTTACCAAAGTGTGTGTCGACACCTGAGTTTTCATGTGCAACTTCCCGATAGGCAAGGCCAGGATGTCCCCCTTGCTGTTGGCTGTGCCCAGCTCTGCCCTGGTGTTCATGGTGCTGGGAGCACCTGCCTTCTCCCACATCATGGTAGCCCAGAGGCCCCAGCCCCTGCCTGGCGCTGTTGCCACATATCGGCAGGGCTGTGCAAGAGGCAGGAAGTGAAATAGTGAAGGGCTTGGACCTGAGAGTCAGGCAGATCTGAGTTCAAGTCCCAGGCTGGCTCTGATGGACCCAGCCTGATGGTCCTCATTTTGGAAGGCTGGCTAGAAGGGAAGAGAGTGGAGGTGGAAGAGAAGGAGCTGGTGCCTTTATAATAAAGGCCTGAGGACCAAGGGAGGAAGTGTGTTTGAAGACGGTGGAAGCTTGGGATCAGACAGACCTGGGTGTGAACCAAGACTATCCACTTCTCTGCTGTGTGTTGTGACCTTGGACAGTCCTAGACTCTGAATTTGTTTTGTTTTCTGTGAAATATGTGGCTCAAACAGCGATAGTCGTCCTCACACCAGATTCCAGGGCAGGAGCAGCGGGAATGAGGAGGAGACAGGACTAACAGGGGCAGCTGCTGTTGAGGAGAGAATCAAAGTGTGGCCACCAGCCAGCCCAGGAGACAGCTAGGGCCCGGGTGGGCGGAGTTGGGGCCTCTGGCACCCTTTGGGCCTGGTGCGGCGTTCCTCCTGACCTGGAGGCCAGCTTCCAGCAGCCCCTTCCCTGCCTGTCGGCCAGGGGCACTCATGACCCTGCTGCCTGGCCCTGTTGTGAGGGGCACCCAGTCTCAGTGGGGTAGCTGGCCTGGGGACAGGGCCATCTTCACTTGCAGGAAGGCCCTAGGGTACTCTGATCAGCGCTCTGCTCTCCCTGCAGCCCTGCTTCCTCAAGGACTGGGAGATGCATGTCCACTTCAAAGTCCATGGTGCAGGGAAGAAGAATCTTCATGGGGATGGCATTGCCTTGTGGTATACCCGGGATCGTCTCATACCAGGTAGGGCTGTGCTGGTGTGGGTGGGCCCTGCTAGCAGACGGCTGGGGTGCACTTAGTTTCTGTGATCCAGGGTCTTCCACTCAGCACCCTCTGGTTAAGACACTGTGGCTTGTCTCAGATAAAACCTGGGCTCTAAGGTTGGCTCTGGAAGGAGTGTCTCTTAGTGAAGAGAAGCAGCTGATCCTGCAGCCTAACTCTGTACCCCTAAACGAGCTCCCCAATGTCCCCAGCTGAGTGGTCCCTCAGGGGCCACTACCAGTTGCTGTTGAGTCAGTTCTGACTTACAATGACCCCATGTGTGTCAGAGTAGAACTGTGCTCCATAGGGTTTTCGGTGGCTGATTTTTCAGAAGTAGATCACCAGGCCTTTCTTCTGAGGTGCTTCTGGATAGTCTCGAACTGCCAACCGTCCGGTTAACAGCCCAGTGCTTTAATCTTGTATGCCACCCAGGAATTCCAGGGTGCACTAGTGCTTTTAATTCTTTGGCCTCGTGCTTACCCCACAGCTTGCCCTGCATGCATGCGCCACCATGGGAAGGAGATCGAGGGAAATAAATTCAGGTCGTACATGTGGGGAGAGTTTGACTTGGAGCAAACCAATAGGCTCCTGGCCTGTACACTGGCTAAGAATGGTTTTTAGCATTATACGACTTTAAAGCCTTATTTAAAATAAAGGTAAAACCAAGCAAGACTGTGTGACAGACCATATGTGGCCGACAAAGCCTAAAACGTTTCCTCTCTGGCCTGTCATAGAAAAAGTTTGCTGACCCCTGGTTTAAAGCTGGGACTTCCTCTGTAGGGGTCCTTCCTGAGTGTCCACTTGCTTTTCATGGGCAGGGTACACCTTGGTCCGCTGATGCTCTCCTCAGGCATGTGGCTTCGGATTTGAGTCTTCTTAGCCCTGCCCCTTAGGCCCCTCTGTTCCCTGCTTGGGTGACTAGTGGATTGACCTTTCTTCCCTACCCCACTGGCGTTACTTTACCGTTCAGGTATCCGTGGGGTAACTCCTATTTGTCCCTGTATGAGAGCATTTCCTGACCATTGCAGGGCCTGTGTTTGGAAGCAAAGACAACTTCCACGGCTTAGCGGTCTTCCTGGACACGTATCCCAATGACGAGACCACCGAGGTAGGCCCCTGCTCTCCCTTTGGAGCAGGAGAGGAAGGCCCGGGTAGTTGGCTCGGGGCAGGGAGACTGGAACTTGTCCTGGAGCCTGTGGGTCCCACGGGGGCGGGTGCCCTGCTGGCTCCCCAGGCCAGGCTGGTGGTGGAGTAACCAGTGTCTTGGTCCCAGCGCGTGTTCCCGTACATCTCGGTGATGGTGAACAATGGCTCCCTGTCGTACGACCACAGCAAGGATGGGCGCTGGACAGAGCTGGCTGGCTGCACAGCTGACTTCCGCAACCGGGATCACGACACCTTCCTGGCTGTGCGCTACTCCCGGGGCCGCCTGACGGTGAGCAGGCTGCAGGCAGGGGTGCAGGCTCAGGCCATGTGCAGGGGCTGAGGGGCCGGCAGGCTGGGGCTGTGGGTGTGCTTAACCTGCCGGCTGCTGCAGGTGATGACCGACCTGGAGGACAAGAATGAGTGGAAGAACTGCATTGACATCACTGGAGTGCGCCTGCCCACCGGCTACTACTTCGGAGCCTCGGCTGGCACCGGTGACCTGTCTGGTGAGTGGTGGGCTGAGCAAGGAGTTCACCGTCTTCATGTTTTCTGGTCTTCGTGTAGCTTCTATACTTGCCAGGGTTCCTGCTTGCCTTCCCATCCTCTAAATGTTGGAGTGTCCCAGGGCTTAGTCCTTGAGCGATCCTTGGTGATCTTCTCCTTCTTTAGGAGATACAAAAAAACCCAAAGTAGTTGCCGTCAAGTCAATTCCGACTCTTGGCGACCCCATGTATGTCAGAGTAGAGCTGTTTTCTACTCTGGTTTTCAATAGCTGTGACTTTTCGGAAGTAGATCACCAGGCCTTTCTTTTGAGGCACTTCTGGGTAGACTTGAACCTCCAGCCTTCCGGTTAGCAGCTGAGCACTTAAACCGTTTGCACCACCCAGAAACTCTGTCTTTAGGTGATACCAAAACCAAACCCATTGTCATCGGGTTGATTCTGACTCATAGCAACCCTGTAAACCAAAAATCCAAACCTGTTGCCGTCAAGTTGATTCCGACTCATAGGTCGCTCTTCACTGTGAGATGAGTGACCCTATAGGACAGAGTAAAACTGCCCAGTAGTGTTTCCAAGGAGCAGCTGGTGGATTGGAACTGCCAGCCTTTTGGTTAGCAGCCAGGGTCTTAATCACTGCGCCACCAGGGCTCCAGTCTAAATGCTGTAGACTCAAATTTATGTCTCTGGCCCAGACCTGTGTAGCCACCAGCCTATTCAGCATCTCTGCTGGGATATCCAAGACATCTCAGTTTTAAGTCCATCAATGAAGATGCGATCTTGCCTGCCAACCAGGATGTAAATGGCACCACTGTCTCTAGTGGCTCAGGCCAAATAACCTTGATGTCATTCTGGACTCTTTTTTTCTCTCACATGCCACCTCTAATCCAGTGACAAGTCCTATGGCTCTGTCTTGGTGGTATATCAGACCCCTGCTCTCCACCCCCCCCCCCACCAGTGCCATCTACTCTCCTCTCTCACGCTTCCATTCTGTTTCCACTTGAGCCCCACAGTCTCTGCCCAGCACGGACGCAGTGATCCCTTAAAAACTGGAGCAGACCTTGTCGCTCCTGTGCTCAGAACTCTGCAGGGCTCCCTGTCTCAGAGTAAAAACCATAGGCCCTGTGTGCTGTCCCCCCATGCCCTCCATCCTCTCCACGTAGGCAGTGCTTGCTGTGCTCCTTGTGTCCGTGGGCCCCCCACTGCCCTGCGTCTGCATTTGCTGTCACGCCTTCATCTCCCCAAGTCTTTGCTCATGTGTCACTTTCTGAGGGGGCCTTCCTTAACTCCCCCGTGCCTGCACACTCCCCATCACCTTTTTGGGTTTATTTTCCTTACAGCACGTACCATCTTTGAATCTACCACATAATTCATTTTTATAACTTTTATTATTTATTGTATTGGCTGTGTCCCCCCACTAAATCCTAAGCTCTACAAAGTCAGGGATTTGCCTTGTGTCCTGCTGCAAACCCATGGCCTGCGAGAGTGCGCAGCCCCAGCAGCTGCTTAGGAAGCCTTGGCTGCCGCCAGCCTGTGCGGTCCTCACTGACTCAGGCCTGGGTGGCTCTGGGCTCTTGGCTGTGGGCCTCCATCCTCACCCTCAGGCCCTCAGAAGGCATTGGAATTGGGGAAGGATGTGGAGGGCCAGCCAGAGGACCTTCTATCCTCAGGATGGGCCTTTCCAGGACCTCTCACCACAGAGGTGTCTAGGTCCACCTAGTCCTCAGGATGTCCGTGATTTGGGGGTTTTGTTTTGTTTTAAAGTTTTTATATGGACACTTCAGTTATGTACCCCAGAGAGGAGAGAGTGGTGTGATGCACTCCCTGTTCCTGTCACCAGCTCCTGCCAGCCTGTTTGTCTGTGGTTCTGCCACAGCCCTTCACTTCCCTCCCCACTGCTGATTACTCGGAGTTCCCTCTGCCAGTGCTTTGGTGTGTGTCTTCCAACGTTCTTGGTAGGGACAGAACTGGATCTGTGGCGGATGGATCCTCTCAGAGGCTGGTAGAGGAGCCAGTGAAGCAGGGCGGAGGGGCCATGAGCATAGTCGTGTCTGACGTTAATCTGGTCCTGGCGATCTCCTTTGTCAGTGGCAATCAGCCGTTGAAAACCCTGCAGAGAACAGTTCAACTCTGATTCACATGGAAATCGCCATGAGTCAGAGTCAGCACGACAGTGGGGTGGTGGTAACGTCGATTGGAGGGTGGTCAGCTACCGGGAAGCTTACATGTAGTCACCTAATGTATTCTTCCTAGATAGGTAGTGGTTTATTTTCCTTTTTACAAAAATGAGAACGCTGAGAATTTGAGAGGTGAAGGGATTTACCCAAATCACACATCCAGGAGGCATCAGGGCTGAGGTGTGAATTTAGATCTGACTGCAAAGCCGGTGCTTTCCCCCATGCCCACTTGCACCCTCTCTTGGGACTGCGTGTGATACCACTCAGCTCTGCCTGTGGCTGCCAGACCTTGTTCTTTAGGTTCTCCCTTTTCCAGACTCCACATATTCCTTCTTTAAACAGGCTTTTCTTCAGGTTCCAGTCAGTCAGTTTAGCTTATAGCAGAAGTCAGGCTGGCCTGGACCCACATCTTGGCTCTGGGCCTCAACTTCCTCATCTGTAAAATGGGTGATCAGTTAGTGTTAAGCTTCCCCTTTTGAGGTTCTTTCCTGCCCATGCTGATTGGAGCTGGGCCTTTCCCAAGTCAGGTACAATTGCTGACCATGTACTAGGGTCAGGCCCCATAGCCAACTGCTAAGCGCTTGTCTGTGTCCCAGGCACCAGTCTCTGTGACAGGAACTTCTATCACCACTGCCACTGAGAGGATTATACTTTTCATCAGTCACTGAACAATTGTGCTGGCTCTTAACTGGTTCCTGTTTCTGCATACACACAATTGCCAGGCCACGTATCTTCCACGTTTCATTGACTTTCTCATTTATTCGCCAAGACAACCATTCAAAACGGAGATAGTTGTCGTTAGTTGCCGCCAAGTAGATTCCAACTCTAGACAATCCCATTTGTACAAAGTAGAACTGCTCCATAGGTTTTTCAAGGCTGTGACCTTTCAGAAGCAGATTACCGGGCCTTTCTGAGGTGCCTCTAGGTATGTTTGAACCGTCAACCCTTCGGCTAGTAGTCAAGCGCTATTATCACCCTCATTTTACAGATGAGGAAACAGCCTCAGGGAAGGAAGCTAACTTAGGATTTAGACCCAGATCATGTTGATTGTAAAGCTCTTGCTGTTTTCTCTCCACTTTGCCCCTCCTGAGTTTCTTATTGCTGTGTCCTGGGGACGGCCAGTCCCGTGGCTGGGACAGCAGCTTCTCCTTGGGGAGGGGTCTGGGCCACGTGCGAAAGGCCAGCTCCAGGCTCACCCCAGGCTGCTCGGTCCCGCAGACAATCATGACATCATCTCCCTGAAGCTGTTCCAGCTGATGGTGGAGCATACCCCTGACGAGGAGAACATTGACTGGACCAAGATCGAGCCCAGTGTCAATTTCCTCAAGTCTCCCAAAGGTATATGTGTGCCCCCTTTCTCCCCACGGGGCTGGGTGCTGGGCGTGTGGCAGGGCCAAGGGTGGCGCAGGGCGAGGGCTCGTGGTCCAGTGTTGCCCTTTCCTGGTCTGAGGGCCATTGGGTCAGCCTTGCCTCTGGTGAGTGGCTCTGGCTGGCCTTGCCCTGAGCTCCTGGTCAGTTCAGCACTGCTTTTGCATAATCGAATGCAGCAAAGGGAAGTCTTCCAAGAATCTGTCTGTGAGGACGTCTTTGCCATGTGATTTCTGTTGGAATACACAGCGAATCAGTGGGTGTCTGGGCTCCTGGTGGTGCTTCTCCTGTATTGGGTACAATGACACCAGCCTGCTACTGCATGTAGGTCATGTACTGGGCCCTCTTATGCCATACGTGTGTCAACCAGTGACCTCAGATGGGTACTCTTCATTTTACAGAAGAGGGAATGGAGTGATCTGAAAGTTTCCTCAGCTAGAAAGAGGCAGAGGCAGATGCAGGATTTGAACTTGGGCCTCTGCAACCCCAAAGTCTGGGCTCTTCCCATGGCGCTGACTAGCCCCCACCCCGCCCTCACAGCGGAAGCTCTGGTGGAGAGATGAGGCTCCTGTTTGGAGAGTCAGCCCCAAAACCAGACTTGTGCCTGTGGGGCAGGCGGCAAGTGGGCATCGGGGGGCCAGGCACACAGGCTGTGTCAGCCTAGCCCACGGCCACTGCACGGAGTGGGCCCAGCATGGCCAGGGCCTTTTGATTTTTAGAAGCCAGAATCCAGTGTTTTATGTGACGTCTCACTTTTTTAAGGTTCAGATTGTTTTTGAATCTTTTGGGGGGTCAAACAAATTATGCTGTGGACCACCTTTTGTAACCTTTGGGGTTTCTGGCTGCAGAGTGGAGACATCATCTGTTCTGACTCATGACCCATCCATTCCTTCAGCAGATGTTTCCAAAGCTTCTACTCCCACCGAGCCATGTGCTGGGCACCAGAAACAAGGGCTCAGTCTAGTGACTGAGGCAGAGCAGGGGGTAGAGGGGCTGGGGGAACCCAGAGGCTGAGCAGCCTGCTGGACAGGCCCCATCAGCAGGGATGCCCTGGGTCAGCAGGTGACGTCGCTGTAGCTGTGCAAGGCAGGGAGATGCTGGCTGAGAGACTGGGCGGCTTGGCAGCCTGCCCAAGTGCAGTTGTGAAGGCAAGGGCGATGCAGAGAGGCTTGTGTGAGGCCCTCCAGGCAAGAGAGCAGCATGGACAGAAGCTGAGAGGAAGGCTGGAGGGAGACCAGAGCAGAAGAGGGAGGCAGGTGGAGGACCAGGCACAGGCTACGCAGGAACACGGACTGAGTTCAGACCCCACTCCTGTGAGCATAGCCTTGTGAACTGGGGAAGTGCCTTTGCTCTCTCAGCCCGTCTACAAGGAGATCACTGTGTCCCCTCCTCAGGGTCGCTAGTATTGCTTGAGATGCCATGTGTGACAGGGCTGACAGCCTAAGGGTGGGGCACATCTGGGTGTTAGTGTGTCTGGAGTGGAAGGACAGGTGCTGGTACTTGGGGCCTGGGAGACCCCCCAGGAGGCCACCTAGAGCTTTCGGCCAGGGTCATATTTCTTCAGATGTGGACCTCAGGACACTGTACAGGGTAGTGGGGGCGCTTATAAGAGTAGCTTCCTGGGCCCCTGTGCAGACTCAGACTCCCAGACAGCCCAGGAGTCTCTGGTTTCAACCAGCTCCTTGCAGCAGAAGCCCCTGACCTCCGTCCTGGGTACCTTGGTCCCAACAGGCTTGTCTCTTCCCCACTCCCGTGCCTTCACGCTGTGGACTGAGAGCTGGGTGGAGGCGGGTTAACCCAACTCTCCCACCCCCAGTGCTGGATCTGAGCAAGACACATACCCCTCGCACATGTCTGCACGGTGGGTGTGCGGCCCTGCCTGAGCGTGGTGCCTGCGACACAAGTGTGCTCTGTCCTGTCTGGCCCCTGCTCCTGGGACCGGCCGCCTGGGAGGGCGGAGATGTCTGCCTTGCTTTGCCGTTTCAGCCGCCTCTCTCTTCTCCCTCAGATAACGTGGACGACCCCACAGGGAACTTCCGCGGCGGGCCCCTGACGGGGTGGAGGGTGTTCCTGCTGCTGCTGTGTGCGCTCCTGGGCATCACCGTCTGCGCTGTGGTGGGGGCTGTAGTGTTTCAGAAGCGGCAGGAGCGGAACAAGCGTTTCTACTGAGCAAGCATGTAGGGCACTCGGCCAGGGACGGGCCTGGCCTTGGGCCTCAGGCACTAATGTGAACTTTTTTTACTTGGATTGTAAAAGAAAAACAAGACAACCTTATTTCTTAACTGTTTCAAAGAAATAATTAAAGTATTTTCTTACATTTTGCTTCTTGCCCAGCCAGGATAGGTGGCAGGGCTGGGGAGTAAGAATTTGACATCCCCACAGCTGGCAGCAGGGGGCTCCCTTCCCGTTGCTGGCATCTCAGGACAGAGAGGGCTGGGGTCTGTGCCGGAGCTGGGTGAGACCCCACGGGAGCTGTCGGGCCCTGCAGGCCCCGCAGGACTTTCACGGGGCATCCTCAGGACATCAGCCCCCATTCTGTTTGTGGTGTGGTGTGTGCGGTGGCAGCGGAGGCCCGAGTTGGGGAAGCTGGGCTTTTCTTTTCACCCTCTGAGCTTCTTTTCAAGGCAGGCCATGGAGTGGGGGGTGGAGGAGCAGTCAGTGGGGCTGAGTATGACCATTTGATAAATAAAGTGAATTAACCAACCTCAGCGTGTGACTGTCCTGAAGCCTCACCTTTCTTTCTCTTCTGATGATGCCCAGCAGGCTGGTGCCAGCAGTGCTTGGCCTTGTCCCCTCTGGCCTGCACACAACCCCCAAGGTAGGTACTGTGGAAGCCCCATTTCACAGGTGGGGACACTGTGGCTCCTGGAGGTCAAGCAAAACCTGCCCTGGGTTACACAGCACTGGTGCGGTGAGGAAGAGCCCAGACAGTCTGACCCTCACCCCAGGCTGTCCCCGTGCCGTCTCCAGAAGGCTAGGTCTCAGCCCAGGGCTCAAGGCCAGGACATGGGGGAAGTGATAGGGAGCTCTGGGGTGCTGGCTGAGGGACTCTGGGGTGATCTAGTGGGGTTGGGGGCAGGACAGGCTGGAGTCAGTAGTGATGTCTGAGTTGCTTTGGGGGACAAGGATGGTACCAGGGGTGGGAGCAAGCCAGCAGCTGACAGGGAGGGACCGTGACTGGCAGTGTCCAGTCCTGCCATCGTCAGCCCAGAGTTGCCTGGGCTTAGGTCCCAGCTCTGTCATTCTTGTTCAGTGCCTCCTTCCCATTCACTGCTAATTAACATGAGAGTCTCCCATCTTAACGGCAAAAGCAAAACCTTATCTTTTCTTCTTTTTCAGCCAGGCTTTTTTGTAATTAATATTATCAAATGGAGTCTCGTTATAAAAAATCCGGTAGTATAGAAGTACACGAAGTGAAGAATAAACCTTTTTCCCCTGAACTCTTGGATCTCACCCTAGAGTTCTTCTTTTATCTACTCCTGTCTTCTGTATCCTCCTTGGTGTGTTCTGTGCACGCACAGAAATTCCTCTCTCAAATCAGGTGAGACTTCAAAAGCTTGTGCACAAGTTCACGGTGACTGCGAGGCAGAAGCTTTGTTTCCTTCACATGGATCTGTGAGCCTGAAGAGCAAACATGGTCCTTCTTACTGAAATATTTTATTGATCACCTCCCCCCAGTTTCTTAACTTGAAGGAACAGCTAACACTGAGTGCTTACTATATGCCAGCATCATTCTGTGCGGTTAATGCGTATTAACTCATTTAGCTCAATGTTTCCCTGCGTAGGTACTGGAAATGCCCTGGGATGGGCAGCTCCCGCCTCCCCTCAGAGTGCTGAGGCCCAGAGTCTGGAACTTTCCTAGGCTGCTGGAACCCTTCCTCAGCACTACACTCACCACCTTTAGTTTTTGGCTCTCACTAGGCCTTCCCTGAATTCCTGAATTAGGCAAATTGGCCTCCGGACCCTGTGGTTCCCAAACTTGGCTGCATGTTAGCATCACCTGGGAACTAAACAGAGCTGCCGCATTCTCAGATTCTGGGACAGTCAGCTGGGGAGCCTGGCCAAGGTCATTTTCCAGAGCTCCTTGGGTGGTTCTGATGGGCAGCCCGGCTGGAGAGCCAGAGGCGTTAGACTGAGGATTAGCCTGGGCAGAGATGGAAGCGGTCACGCTCTCTGTCCTGGGTGGGCAGGCCGGTGCCCCTTCCCACTGGGACACAGCCTTGTTTGCCCCCAGAAGTCAGTGGCTTCCCAGTTCAAACCTAGAGGTGCTTCCCTGGGCGGTGTGTGCTTTTACATCTGCATTCTCAGACAGGACCATAATGCACTTACTGTTTTGTGCTGTGTGCGTTTAAAAATGGAATTATTTCATCAATCGAAAGTTAAATATAAATGTATATCCGTGTACTTGCTATGCAATGTAAGAAATGAAACCTAGCCACACATGTGGATCCTCTGCGTACCTTCCTTAAATGCTGCCGAGTCTGGCCTTTTATGAATTTTTTAACATTTCACCACAGAGGTATATATCCCTTAATACAGTGTCGTTTTGCATTTTAAACTATATAAATGCTATGCGAATGTACTAACTTCTGAAGCCCAACATTATGCATCTTTGGATTCACTGGATGACTCAAGATGAGTCTTTCTTACTGTCATGTTTTGTTGTGTGAATGTGCCTCAGTTCACCAACTCTGCTCATGACGGACATTCTGGTGCTCCCACTTTTTTGCTCTTAACACACAGTGCTGCTCCAAGCCTTCTTGAATGTAGCTTCGTGCACAAACGTGCTGGAATTGCTGGGGTGTAACTTACCATACATCCTTGGTTTGACTAGACGTTGCCAAACTGCTCTCCAGAATGGTTGTCTCAGTTCTCTTCCTGTGTCAGATGCTCTGCCACCCCACTTCTTAACACAAGATACTGTCAGAGGTTTTAATTTTTGACAATCTGATTGATGTAGAAGTTGTAATTTGCCTTTCTCTACCAGTTGGGTTTAGGATCTTTTTGTTTATTGGTCGTTTGTATTTGCTCTGTGATTGTTTACTTTTTGCCCCTTTTTCCTTCTGATCAATAGGAGCCCTTGCGTGATGGTCCTTGGTTGCATGGGCTGCAGACACCTCCCAGTACGGCTTGTCTTTGTATTTTTATTTTTTGGTTTATTGTTGTAGTTTAAGTGAAAGTTTACATTTCAAGTTAGTTTCTTATACAAAAATTTGTACGTACATTGTTATGTGACCCTAATTGCTCTCCCTATACTGTGACAGCACACTCCTCCTTTACACCCCTGTTTTCCTGTGTCCGTTCAACCAGCTCCTGACCCTCTCTGCCTTCTCATCTCACCTCCGGACAGAAACTGCCCGTCTAGCCTCATGTATCTGCTTGAGCTAAGAAGCACACTCTTCACGAGTATCCAGTCCAATCTTTGTCTGAAGTGTTGGCCTTGGGAATGGATTTAGTTCTGGGCTGACAGAGAGTCCAGGGACCATGCTTTCTGGGGTTCTTCCAGTCTCAGACCTTAAGTCTGGTCTTTTTAGTAGAATTTGAGTTCTGCACCCCACCTTTCTCCTGCTTCATCAGGGACTCTGTTGTGTTCCCTGTCGAGGTGGTCATTGGTGGTAGCCAGGCACCATCTAGTTATTCTGTTCCCAGGCTGATAAAGTCTCAGGTTTATGCGGTCCTTTCTGTCTCGAGCTAATACTTTCCTTGTGTCTTTGGTGCTCTTCATTCTCCTTTACTCCAGGTGGTTGGGACCAATTAATGCATCTTAGATGGCCACTTGCAAGCTTTTAAGACCCCAGACACCGCTCACCAAAGTAGGATGCAGAATATTTTCTTAAACTTTGTTATGCCGGTTGACATAGATGTCCCCTGAAAGTATGGTCCCCAGACCCCTGCCCCTGCTACTCTGTCCCTCAAAATGTTTGATTGTATTCAGAAAACTTCTTAGCTTTGGTTTAGTCCAGTTGTGCTGACTTCCTCTGTGTGTGCTGTCCTTCCCTTCATCTAACATAATTCTTGTCTACTATCTAGTTAGTGAATAACCCTCCCCCTCCTTGTAACCATCAAAGAATGTTTTCTTCTGTGTTTATACCTTTTCATGAGTTCTTGTAATAGTGGTCTTATACAATATTTGTCCTTCTGTGACTGACTAAATTCACTCAGCATAATGCCCTCCAGATTCCTCCATGTTACAAGATGTTTCATGACTTCATCGTGGTTCTTTATCGTTGTGTAGTATTCCATTGTGTGACTATACCATAATTTATCCATTCATCCGTTGATGGGCAGCTAGGTTGTTTCCGTCTTTTTGCTATTGTGAACAGTGCTGCAGTGAACGTGGCGGTGCATATATCTATTTGTGTGATGGCTCTTATTTCTCTAGGATATATTCCAAAGAGGGGGATTGCTGGATTATATACTACTTCTATTTCTAGCTTTTTAAGGAAGCACCAAATTTCCAAACGGGTTGTACCGTTTTACATTCCCACCAACAGTGTATAAGTATTCCAGTCTCTCCACAACCTCTCCTGCATTTATTATTTTGTGTTTTTTGGATTAATGCTAGCCTTTTTTGGGTCAGATGGTATCTCATTGTAGTTTTGATTTGCATTTCTCTATTGGCTAATGATCGTGAGCATTTCTTCATGTGTCTGTAGCCACCTGAATGTCTTCTTTGGCGAAGTGCCTGTTCATGTCCTTTGCACATTTTTTAACTGGGTAATTTGTCTTTTTGTTGTTGAGGTTTTCCAGTATCTTGTAGATTTTAGAGATTAGACACTGGTCAGATTTGTCGTAGCCAAAAATTTTTTCCCAGTCTGTAGGTTGTCTTTTGACTCTTGGTGAAGTCTTTTGATGAGCATAAGTGTTTGATTTTTAGGAGCTCTCATTTATCTAGTCTCTCTTCTGATGCTTGTGCATTGTTACTTATGGTTCGTATTGTGTTTATGCCATGTATTAGGGCTCCTACCATTGTCTCTATTTTTTCTTCCATGATCTTTATCATTTTTGATTTTATACGTAGGTCTTTGATCCATTTTGAGTTACTTTTTGTGCATGGTGTGAGGTATGGGTCTTGTTTCAGTTTT